GTGCAGAGAGTCAGCACGGGATGAGGGCTGGTTCGACCCCCAGCTCGGCCTCCTCGTCCGCGGCAGATCTGTGCTGCAGTCCCCACAGCAGTAGGTCAGACCTGCTCCTGCCCGGCACGGCCGGGGACTTCAGCCTGAGCGCCAGTCTGTCGGCCTGTTCGCTGCTCTATGAGGTACCTCCAGGCGAGGGGCCCCGTGCTCTGCCGCCGAGGACAGGGACCCATGCCAGGCGCAGGCGGGGAAGGCGCGCCGGAGGCCCCAGGCCTGTGCCAGCCAAGCCCGCTGTGCTTACCCAAGGAGAGCGGGAGGCCGGGGATCCTGTGGGGCTGGCCGCTGGTTCCCGCCTGCTTTTCGGAGGTTTTAGCCAAGGTCCCGGACCCTCTGTGCCTCCCCGCTGGGGCACTGGGACTCCCCGAAACGATTCCTTTTCTCTCTCCCAAGCCCTGGCGTGACTCTCTGTCCAGTGCTGCTCTGGCTGTTCCAGAGACATCCCCGGGGCTGGTCCTCCCGTCTCCTGGGGTGATGGTGGCATCCACTTCTTCTCCGAGGCTTGGAGGAGACTGCGTCAGGACTGTGACTGGGAACGTGTAGGAGCCTTGTAGTTGGGTCTCCTGATGTTTGCTTTCCCGCTTCTAAAATGGGCGGTCAGAATCAGGCGAGGGCTTCTACTCCTGAGCTACTAGACTTGTGAAGAGCCCCCTGCCTGATGTGGCAGCTCTGCAGCTGGGTGGGAGTGATGAGGAGCTGGGAGGGCACACATGGGGACAGCAGCAGCAGGTGTGTGATCTGATCATGCCTCATAAGAACTTGGGCAGAGCTGACCACAGGGAATAGTGAGGGTTTCTTGCCCTTCCTGGGCAGCCCCCGGCTCGAGGTGCCAAGCTGTGTGGCCCATCTTGCAGGGGGCTGTGGAGCCCATGCAGATTGATGTGGACCCCCAAGAGGACCCGCAGAATGCACCTGATGTCAACTACGTGGTGGAGAATCCCACCCTGGTATGGATCCAATAGGGGGACCTTGGGTGTCTCAGTCCTGCTGGGGGGTCCAGGCCAGACTTCCAGCTACAGCTTACATAGCGGGTAGACTAGTCTTTCTTAGTGACTTCTCTGGTCGTGTCTTTCTCACCCTGAAACTCTCAGGTCTGCTAGTTATACACTCATGTTGGGCTCACAGTTGCTGCCTGTTGAGTCTCACCGTAAGGTAGGATGTCTTTTGGGACCATCCAGTTAAACAGTCTCCTCCCTGCTTTGCTCACCAATCAGCTGTTCCCAATACAGAGCCCTACTCCAGAGGCTACTGCCCTGCCCCACCTCAGTGGTCTCTCTGCAGCACCTAGGACAGCAGCCAAGCTCACACCCCTGAGCCCAGATGCCCATTTCTGTTATTGGCGCAGCGTCTCTCTGGCAGGGTCAAAGGGTTGACATTCTGACTGAGACAGTCAGTTCCCTGCTCCTAACTTCTGGGTCGGGGCCTGGGATCCTACCCTGCACATCCTGCCTGATACACTTGTCTGCTCCCCACCCCTACCCCCCAGGACCTGGAACAGTATGCAGCCAGCTATAGTGGCTTGATGCGCATTGAACGGCTGCAGTTTATTGCTGACCACTGCCCCCCACTACGGGTGGAGGCACTGAAGATGGCACTCTCCTTCGTGCAGAGAACCTTCAACGTGGACATGTATGAGGAGATCCACCGGAAGCTCTCGGAGGCCACAAGGTGAGGCCAGGGGCTTGGCAAGAGGAAGCAGAGGCCACCAAGGGAACAGGCACTGGGACTGGACATGGTGGGTTCCCCCTTCTGTGCCCCTGCAATGCCCCATGCCCCCACCCTTGTACTGGTGGTCTCTGTGAGGTTGCTGTATAAGGGACGTGCTTCAATGTTGAGCAGTGGGTGATGGAGCACTTGTTCTCCTAGCAAGAATGAAGATCCCTGTATGTTCAGCTTCTCCCTGCTTGTGTGTACATGATCACTTACCCTGAGTCCAAGAGAAGTTGCTGGACACGGTGACCCAGCAAGGCCACATCAGGCAGCTTCTCCTCCTGCAGGAATTCCTCACCCAGCTGTGGGATCCTAGGGTTAGCGATTGTCTCTGTGCCCCTGATGTAGACTGGGCCCCTTGCAGGGACCAATGGGAGGTGCCTACCTGTTTGCAGATTGGCCTCTGAGGGCCAGCTTATGGCTGGTGACTTCCTCCCCCACCTCCCTGGCCCTCATCCTGACAGCCAGGTCCTCTCTCAGGGAGTTACAGAATGCACCTGACGCCATCCCCGAGAGTGGCATGGAGCCCCCACCCTTGGACACAGCCTGGGTGGAGGCCACTCGGAAGAAGGCTCTGCTAAAGCTGGAGAAGCTGGACACAGATCTGAAGAACTACAAGGGCAACTCCATCAAGGAGAGCATCAGGTCTGACCTGGGCCATGGAGGCCAAGGGGGTGGGCACTGGACCTAAATGGCCTATGACTAGCGTCTACTTATGGCTGGACCCATAGGCGAGGGCATGATGACCTGGGTGACCACTACCTCGACTGTGGGGACCTTAGCAACGCCCTCAAGTGTTACTCGCGGGCTCGAGACTACTGTACCAGCGCCAAGCATGTCATCAACATGTGCCTCAACGTCATCAAGGTCAGCCTGTGGTGGCCAGGTGTGGGGTGGGGGTGCCATGGGGGCAGCGCTGGCCCTGAGCCAGGAGCATATACCCCACACTCAGTTTGGCCACCCTACCCACTGACCCACCAGGTCAGCGTCTACTTGCAGAATTGGTCTCATGTGCTGAGCTACGTCAGTAAGGCTGAGTCTACCCCAGAGATTGCTGAGGTAGGGCCACCTCCTCCGAGACCCCTCCCACCATCCCCGGCCCCTCCGATACCGCCATTCTCTCCCAAGTCTGCCTTTGTTCCCTCTCAGGCTGGAGATCTGGCACTGGGCTTGAGCTCCGGGGATTGTGGAGTTGTAGGCTCACATGTGTGACTTCCCTCTGCAGCAGCGAGGAGAGCGGGACAGCCAGACCCAGGCCATCCTCACCAAGCTCAAGTGTGCTGCAGGTGAGGGCATGGTGGAGGGGGCATGCCACCGCTGATGCACCACATGCTCCATGTGGTTGAGTTCTCACAAACTAGGGAAATAGGGCTCAGTCCCAGCATCACAGCTTGGGGAACCTTCACTGACGGGGTGCTGGTCATTGTGGGGCATGCGTGTACCGCATCCACAGGTGTCAGTGATGTCTGTTCAGTTCTACTATGGAGAAACACACGTGACCAGTGATCAGGGATGAGGTATGTTCCAGGTGACTGCTCTCACAGCCTGACCTCACTAGTCAGCTGTATGGCCAGGCAGGACTGTGTGGCCCAGGGCAGGTCTGCAGGCTTCAGCATCTCTGAGCCTGGTGGTCCTTTGCAGCCATGATGGCAGTAGCACCTAGCTTCAGGGAGTATGCTCAGTGGTGGCGGGCTGTGATTTCCACCCAACTAGAATATTTGTTCCCCAACCCCAAGGAGCAGCACCTGGGGCAGGAAAAGCCAGGGAGCTCATTGATGGCTGTGCCCCTTTTGCCCTCAAGGCATTGGCAGCTTCTTCAGGTGTTTGGGCCTTATCCCCCTTCTCTCCCTTTTGCTAGGCTTGGCTGAACTGGCTGCAAGAAAGTACAAGCAGGCTGCCAAGTGCTTCCTGCTCGCTTCATTTGATCACTGCGACTTTCCTGAGGTGAGGGCCTTGTGGTCTCTGGGGAGAAGCCCTCTTGGGGACCTGGGTAGCAGAGTGAGAGCTCATGGTTTGGACTCTCTTTGTTGGGAGATCTCCCCCAAGTGGGGTCCGAGGTATTCTCTGAGCAGGTGATGGGCAGGCAGGCCCATCTATCCATGACCTCTGCTCCTCAGCTGCTGTCACCCAGCAATGTGGCCGTCTATGGTGGCCTGTGTGCCTTGGCCACCTTCGACCGGCAGGAGCTGCAGCGCAATGTCATTTCTAGCAGGTGAGTGGGTCCTAGCACTGCAGCCTTGGACCTCTCTGTTGGCCCCCTCTCTGGCCTTGCTTGTCCCTGGACTCCTGGCCCTGCCGTTTTCCCAGGTGTGTTCCTGGAGACTGCTGCTCCACGGGCCACTTGGAGGGTGGGGGCAGGCAGGGAACGGGTTCTGAGGCATCTGTGCCCACAGCTCCTTCAAGCTGTTTCTGGAGCTGGAGCCACAGGTTCGTGACATCATCTTCAAGTTCTACGAGTCCAAGTATGCCTCGTGCCTGAAAATGCTGGACGAGATGAAGGTGAGGCCTGGCTGGGTACGAGGTGACGCAGGGGCTTGGCCACACCGGGGAGGGTTGGTCTTTGACCCAAGTGACAGATCCCTGACCAGCCCCCTCCACAGGACAACCTGCTCTTGGACATGTACCTGGCCCCACATGTCAGGACCCTGTACACCCAGATTCGCAACCGGGCCCTCATCCAGGTAAGTGCGGAGATGGGCTGGGGCACCACGGACACGGTGGGGGCTGTGAAGTTGACACCCCTGCCCTGCAGTATTTCAGTCCCTATGTGTCGGCTGACATGCACAAGATGGCGGCAGCCTTCAACACCACGGTAGCCGCCCTGGAGGACGAGCTGACACAGCTGATCCTGGAGGGGCTCATCAATGCCCGTGTTGATTCGCACAGCAAGGTACAGGCCCTGGGGGAGGGGATCTGGGGGACAGCTGGGGGGACTGGGTGCAGTGGGGCCCTACTGAGCTTGTTCCTGTGCAGATCCTGTATGCCCGGGATGTGGATCAGCGCAGCACCACCTTCGAGAAGTCCCTGCTAATGGGCAAGGAGTTCCAGCGCCGTGCCAAAGCCATGATGCTGAGGGCTGCTGTGCTGCGCAACCAGATCCACGTCAAGGTAAGAGCCAGGGCATGGGGCGCCATACCTGTACCTGCACCCACAAAACCTGGTGAGCTGAGCCTCCATGTTTTCACCACAGTCCCCGCCCAGGGAAGGGAGCCAGGGGGAGCTGACTCCGGCCAACAGCCAGTCCCGGATGAGCACCAACATGTAAGGGGCACCTGTCGGCCTCCAGGACATCTGCACCCCTTCCTGCCTCCACAGACTCACATCTGGGCCTCCTGTCAGCTCACCTCGAGTAGACCCAGTGCCACCTGTGGCCCAATGGGAGGCCTGGTCACCAGATACCAGCCCCTCTGCCCTGTTGTGCCCTGTGCTAGGGCCTGGAGAACAGGCGGGCTGCTAGTTGTAGCCCTTCCTCGAAGGAGGGGCCCGTAGGACTTGACCTCATGGGTTTCTGCCCTCAGGGAGCAGACTGTGCAGTGCCCAGGCCCAGTGGCGCCACCTCCCAGATCCCTCCAGTTCCTGCTTTGATTGGGTGCAGATGACTTGGCATCATCCATTAAAGAACAGACTGAGTGTTGCCCTTGGCCATCCCTTCCTGCGGCGCGGGCTTCAGCCAGCCATTTGCCCCTGGGTCAACTTGGGTTCCTAATGGCTGTCCCCCTGAGGTCAGGTCTGGGCAGGGCCTGGTCCTTAGGCTCACCAGTCCCTCCAGCTGCTGCTGCTCCCTGGCCAAACTGAGCTTCCAGGGCTCTCCTGTGTCAGGAACTCCCCAGAAGCATTGGGCACTTGTCCTGGGGGGAGGCAGGGAGGCAACCTAAGCCCCACTTTCCTCCTTACAGATGTTTTCACGCATTGCCTTCATTTAGAGATGCTTCCCTTGTTCCAGGGTCCCCATAGGCCCTGACTGCACCCTCCCCCAGCTTGGGTTTCCCAGGCCTGGTGGTTACAGGCTGTCAGCATTCTGCACGTACATCTTTGAAACCATTTATTGTTCACTTTTGAACGCACATGAGTGGTGAGGACAGGGCAGGTCTAGCCTGGGGCCTGCTCCCCGCTGCAGCATTTCCAGGCCCCAGGATGGGCCAATGGGAGGATGTGGTGCATCCTTCCATGTTAAGTAGCGGGAGATTCCCTGAGTAAAAGGCATTTCCTCGAGTGGGCCATGTCCGGGCTCCAGCAGCAGTCCTGGGGTGAGGGGGTTTCTGGGGCCTTCAGGCCAGGGCACTGCCCATGACTTCAGAGAAGCCACCTGGTGTCCCAGACCCTGCTGGCTGGGGCTCCTGCAGTCCAGGCTGGGCCCCTTTCCAGGCCAGAGACTTCTCCAATTTGGTTTTAAAAAGCAATCCGTGACCTGGCAGAGGGAGCCAGAGAGTGGAGATGGCGTCAGAAAGCTGAGGGTCCCACTGGGGGAGAGGGACTGGTGGTGGCAAGTACCCCTTACCTGGGCAATCTGCAGTCTCTTTGAAGGCACGCTTCTTGCAGCAGCCACGGCACAAGTTGAACACACATCTGTTGCCCTGGATGCGGGAAAGCTCATGAGCCTGTGGTCCACATCCCTTCCCAGGGTCAATGTGGCCAGGAAAGGAGTAGGTGGAGCAGCTGGAGTCAGTTGCAAACCTCTGCCAGGGAACTGCAGTGCAGCACAGGCCCTTCCAAGCCAGGACTCTACCACCTCCCACACCCAAACCCAGTCATTCCCACTCCAGGCATAGGCATGGGGTGAGAGGAGAAACTCTTCTTTAGAAGCCTTGGCCAGGTGCAGGGGGCTGTCCTGAGGCTGTGTGGGAATATCCACCCCACCTTGGGCCACACACAGGCTGTAAACTCTTGGCTGGGGGGATTCCAGACCTGCTACCCCAGGTAGCAGAGGGACCCACCCTGTGTACACCTTTGCGGCTGAGGCCAGGACAGCATGAGGCCAGAACCAACTCACCTTTGGGTTTCCACACTGGTCACACTTTGCATATTTTGCTGAGAAAAGAACAAAAAGGATCCTGGTTGAAGAAGGTAAACCCTAGACAGGTGAGGGTGGCCTGTCCACCTCCGTGGAGCCTGCAGAAGGCTTCCTGCTAGCTGTTGCCAGTCAGTAGGCTCACAGAAGGCAGGACGTGGCCTGGCCATGGCTGCTGTTCCCTCTGGGTGAAGGATGGTGGGAGGATGTAAGGGGTACTGCATTGTCCTGCAGGAAATGAATGGGAAGCTGTGGCCTCACCCCCCCGCCCGCCATGGGAACAAGGAGAGCACTGGTCCCACCCACAGGGCTTAAGGGGCTCCATATCCTTCGTTGCTGGGTCTCCAACAAGAGGGCCAAGAAGGGCAACTTCAGGAACCTGGCCCAAGCGCTTTCTGCCTGTCCAGCTGCCTCCTGGCAGTGGCTCAGAGTGCAGTGTGGTCAGGAGGGACTGCTGGCCACAGTTCAATGTACAGCCCCTCATTGACCTTCCAGCCCCCTGTAGGAAGGTTTGGGCCCCTTCTGCTGGTCTCACCTGTGGCTTATAAAGTTATCAGAGAAATCTCCTGGGAGGCTTCCCCAGGTGAGGCTCTGAGAGGCAGCCAGGCCTGAGGGCTCTGGTGGGCTGGCCCAGGACGCCAAGGGGCACCGGGAGTCTTAGGGGAAGCATTGCCATGAGTAGAGGCTGGGCAGGCAGCCTCACTGCACCTCATCTGCCCTTCTGCTCTGCTGGTGCCTCTACCCAAAGGCATGGCTTCTGGCCCAACAGCAAGACCCCTGCACATTCTCCTAGGGCTTCCAGCCGCCTCCTCAGTGGAATGAGAGGCCATCCCTGCATGAGGTTGGAGCCCACCCAGGGCTCTGCCCTGACCTGAACAGACCCTGCAGTGGCCACTTGGACAGCACCTGACTGAGACGCTTGTCCTGGGCCTCGTCTGACTCACTGAAAGCCTAAGTTCCACATATACAACACATCATGGCCCAGGAAGGCTGCATGGCTCTGCATAGGGTACCAGGGCTCAGACCTGAAGTCTGGACTGACTGGACTTCTGGGGTCGGGCTCCCTAGGCATGTCTCCAGCTCTGGGCCTTGAGCCCACTGACCAAGTCCAGGTTTCTGCCTCTGTAGCACAGAAGACAAGGACAATGAAGAAGCTGCCCCAGCTGGTCCCACCAGCTTCCTGGGCTCAGTGGTTGGGAGTGGCACTCACGTTTCAGAGAGGGGTCAAAGGTCTTGTGGGGGTTCCTCAGCTGCTTCTTCTGCTTGTTCTTGGACAGGATGTCCGTGCCACTTTCCTCCTCCTCCAGGGCCCGCTTGCTACGGGCACCAGTGTTCTCCTTGCTTCCCTCCCTGGGCCTGAGGAGAAGGTCAGCGGGCAGAGCCCAGAGACATCCCTGAGAAGTGTCCCACCAGTAATGGCCACACAGATGAGGCTCAGAGGAGCTCCCAGGACAAAGATGGGCCAGGCAGCCATGGCAGGTGCTTGTGTATGGGACATGCTGTGGCCCCATCAACAGCTCTTATGAGGCTGTCCAGGCACAGGCCACACAGGGCAGGTGTGCAGCCCACTGAGCAGAGGGAGTGGCTGGCACAGAGACTGGGCCCCTGGGATGGTGTCTGTAGCTCGGGCCTGGGATCTGAGTCACTGGGCTCCAGGCAGAGCTGTCGCCACAGATGGCCTTGTCTCTGAAACCCAGAGAGTAAAGGACCAATCCCCCAGGATCAGAAGAGTTAGAGAAAGATCTTATGGGAGAAAAGATCAAATGTGCACCATGGGCACAGGCACGCCTACTTTGCATGCATGACCCTGGGCTGGCTCAGTTCTCACCCTGGCCGGATATAGGGCTGGCAGATCCAGTGGAAGAAAGGCAAGTCACCGGCTGGCTTCTCTGCCCCTTGCCTGGATATCTCTTCCTGCAAAAGCCAAGGGCCCCAGTCATGGCCCCAGCCTCCCACCCACACTCAGTGGGCTCCTGCCAGCCCCACACCTGCCTGACATCGCAACTTTAGCTCCTGGCTCACAGCCGCGACACCCTCCAGGGTCTTCACTTTGGCGAGCTCCTCTCGAAGCTGCTGATGCACCTGCAGCCTGAGACAGACACCCCATCACACAGAGCTGGCCCACCTGTGCTCCCCGCCACTAGACTCCAGTTGAGCACTGGGCACACGGGCACGTCTCTTCCTGCTCGGCTTCACTGTTAAGTCCTGCCCTTGAGACCTGACTGGTGGCAAGTTGTTTTAGTAAAACCTCCGGAATGCCCAGTAGGGTTCCAGCAGCAGCTGCCTGGGCAGCATCCCCATGTGGCTTCTTTCAGGGTGACTCACGTGTGGTGCCACAACTTGAAGAGGTGGGCCCGGACGTAGGACAGTGGGCAGGGGTACTGCCGAACGATGTCCAGGTACTCCTCGGCTAGCTCCCACACGGCAGGGCTCCGGCCCTCGAATAGGGCAGGGTTGTGCAGGTTGCCCTCTGCAGGTGGAGGAGGAGGGGAGTCCTCATGGGGCCACTCCCAGGTGGATAGCAAAGGAAAGCCTGGCCACCCATGACACTCTCCTGTGCCCCCACGCCAAGGACAAGACCAGCCCCAGCTTGCTGGCCATCACTAGCTAGAAAGTAGCCTGAGAACCCAGGCCAGCAGAGCACCCATGACCAATGAAAGCCGTTATCATACAGCACTGTTTGGAGGACTAAGAGGCCATTGATCTGGGTGGTAGCATCAGACCCTGCCCACCTGCACTCATGACACCCTGCACGCCGGTGTCCTGGATGCAGCGCTCCACATCCTGCAGGCACTGGATGTTCCCGTTGGCAAACACAGGGATGGCCACAGCCTTCCTGCCAGGAGAGAAATGCTTGTCCCTCTACCCCATGCTGGATGGCACCCAGGCCCAGGACGGTCCCAAACTCCATCTTGGTTGGGTGCTTCTCCCACTGCGATGCTGCCCTCTTGGCTAGTGGTCCCAACCCCTGCTCATGGCTGGTCACGGTGCCAGGTATGCTGAGTCCCCAGAGGTATGGAGCTGGGTCTTCCTCCAGTGAAGCCCAAAGGACTGAAGGCTGTGTCCCCACCCCCACATCCACTCACCGCACAGCCTTGATGTGCTCCCAGGATGCTGCACCCGACAGGGGCCCCTTCTGCTCCTTGGTGCGCCCATGTACGGTCAGCAACTAGGACAGATGAGTGGCTGGCTCAGCCCTGATACCAGAGAGCCCCTCACTGACTCCAGGAACCCTCTCCCTCAGTTTCTTGGCTCCCATGCAGGGCAGCAGAAAGGCTGTTCTGGACTTGGCTGGGTCCCAGTAGTAAGAGCCCATGCCTATTCAAAAACCAGTACCCCAGGCCAGGAAGTGGCAGTATTCATACAAGGCCAAAAATATGGTAGGGACCACCTCCAGGATGACCCCAGGCTGGTGGGGCATGGTGGAAAGGTAGGGCCTTGGCCTAGCACCCTCTGTGCAGGCCTTGCCCCCAGGTCATCAAGACTCCTGTCCACCCACAGAAGGTAAATGTCTTGAGGGGCACCCCTGGAACAGGGCCTTAGGCCTGTGCAAGGCCAGGCTCAATTTGCAGAGGACACAGACAACTCTGTCAATGGCTGTGTGGCCCCTTCCTGTCTCTCCATAGAGGTTGGATGCTGAGCTTGCCCCAAAGCAGTCCTGGCCAACCTATGGGCACTAAGGATATAACGATGACTCTGACATTACTTTCTCCAGAGAGACAAAGCCCTGGAGCCAGGACAACAGTTCTTGCTGTAGAAGACTGGGCCCCAGGTAGCAGTATTCAGAGCCAGTGGTGTCAGGCCAATAGCACATCTCTGAGTGGGCTCAGAAAAAGCCACAGTTGCATCCTTTGCACTCAGGCCCAAGGATGGTGCTGAGCTGGTGGGCCCAGGAGGGGAGCTGCCTTCTCTGCCAAAACCATGTCAGGGTGAGCCAAGGCCCAGGGCTCACCTGGCAGCCAGCTTTCTCCAGCATCTGGGCATACCTCACAGTCTTGTCAATCTCTGGGAAGACACGGATTTTGCACGTGACAGGAACAGAGAGTTTCTCGTGGGCCAGCAGAACTGAGGAGAAGAGAGACTGCTTCTCAGGGGACCAAGGCATTCTTGTCTCAGGCGGTCAAGCTCTGCAGCCCAGATCCCCATGATGGCAAAGCCAGGCAGCTGTGCCAGGAGATAGCCTGGCCATCATCTAGGCTATCACCCGCAGGCTGCTGGGCAGGTTCCCTCTCCCTTTCCTTTGTCCTCATGAGTTCACATGTCAAGAGGGTCCTACGCCAACTCTCTTGTGATGGCAGTTGAGACCCAGCTCTGTCTGCAGGGAATTAGAGGTCTAGGACTGAGAAAAGACACCACCCCCAGGACCTACTGTCTGGCTATAAGGGGCAGGTGTCCCAGGAAAGGAGACTTCACAGCCATCTCCTTCAAGTAGGGAGCCTGCTATGTTTGAAGGCCCCAGGGTGATCCTGAGACACTCCTGGCTCCTGTCCTCTCCTGAGCCCCAAGTGGCCAGTGCCCACATGCCCCATCAGGCTCTGTCTGGGCTCCATCACTTTCCATGCTGCACTACGTAGCCAACTCACTCATTCTTTGGAGCAGATCCCACTCCTCCTGCAGGAAGGCGCCATAGTGACCTGCAAAGGATAAACATGGCCTGGCTGGTTCCACTGGCGAGGCCAGGCAGGGCCGAGGTTGCCTCTGCACCCCTCCTCCCACATGGCTCACTGTCCCACTTGCATCTACATAGGTCATGAGCCACCCTGCCAGTCCAGCCCTGCAAGGTCCCCAGAAGCAGCAATGTCTCTGGTTGGGGCAGCAGGGTAATTGGTGTCTAGTGGTTTGTCAGCATCAGACATAGCATCCACTTCTCCAGCTGCCCAAGCTCATGGGGCACTGAATGAAACACCCCCCTACACAGTCTGGGATCTGCCAGCACCACCTCAGGGGCCTGGTGAAGAAGGCAGGCTGTGCCCCATGCAGCAACACAAAGGGTGACGGGGACCTCTATCAGCAAACCAGGTTTATCCAGAGGGAGCTCCCCAAGGTATATTAAGAGCCTCTGGCTCAGACCATGGGGCCTGAGGACAGTCACCTGCCAGAGGGAGGAGCACCAAGGAGGGCTGGCTCAGGCTTGAGCCACCTCATAACAGACAGGGGCTGCCTTGCGAGCCCACTACACCCAGGGCCTGCTGAGCTGGCCCCAGACAGCTCCTCGTGGAACCCTGGACTTCAGCTTACCTCTCTTGGCTATCATCTGTGGGCAGCCCAAGTTCAGGTCAATGGCATCACAGTAGTCCTGAGCCAGCAGAGCCGCCTGAACAAACACCTCAGGGTCATTGGCACAGAACTGGAGAAGACACAGATGTCACCATGAGCCCAGCCAGGCCCTAGCCCCTGCTTCCCAGGTCACCCAGTCCTGCAAGGGGTTCACAGCAGGAGAGAATCCTGTCCTGTCAACGTTTATAACATGACAAGGATCGCCTGAGCCCAGCAGGTTGAGGCTGTGGTGGTCATGAGCATGCCACTGCACTCCAGCCTGGATGAGAGTGAGAAACTCCAACTCAAAAAAAAAAAAAAAAAATAGCCGGGCTCGGTGGCTCAGCCTGTAATCCCACGCTCTGGGAGGCTGAGGTGAGTGGATTGCCTAAGCCCGTGGGTTCGAGACCCGCCTGGGCAACTTGGTGAGACCTCATCTCTACAATAAATCAAAAATTAGCCAGGCGTGGTAGTGCGCGCCTGTAGTTTCAGCTACTTGGAAGCCTGAGGTGGAAGGATCGCGGAGCCCAGCAGGTCGAGGCTGTGGTGGCCGGAAGCGGCCACTGCACTCCAGTCTGGGCGACGGAGTGAGACTCCAACTAAAAAAAAAAAATAGCATAACAAGACCTGGAAGACCCTTCCAGCTCCCTCGGAGAGTGAGACACAGATTCACAGCATTTCTTTTCTCTATAACAGAAGCCGCAGTCCCAGACTCCCCTGAACAGCAAAGCCATCTTTCTAATCGTTCTGAAGAGGGAGGGAGTGTGAGTGGGAGGCAGTACTTGGGGTGATGCTGGGGACTGCACATCTCTTGCACCACAGGGGCTATCTGAACCAGCCCCCAGGAAGGGGGTCTATCTCTGGGAGGTATCCCTGGCAGCTGCTCTACCACGTGTCACTGCAGCTACACCAGTTCCATGCCTGGTGCCACCCTCCCAACCCCCAGCATTGGGAAGCTATTTCTGGAAAGGCTGAGGGTGATGTCCCTATGCTTCACCAGGTTAGTTCTAAGGCCAGGACCCAGCCACAGCCAGTCCCTCCTGCTCACCTGCACTATGAGGGGCCGGTCCTCAGGGCACACTTCGCAGTACAAGTTTTCTTTGCGGTAGTTGGCATCTCGGACGAAGACCTGGGCATGCAGCATGGGTGTGTAGCAGAGCTGAGCCCCATGGCGGCGGCTCAGCAGCCTCCAGGCCAGCTCACTCTGGTCCACCATGGGGGCCACTACATGGCGTGCTCCCCCAAGGGTGCGGCTCCAGAACTCGAAACCCTGCAGCTTTGGCATGGTCTCCAGTCTTGGGGAAAGGAGAAGACTGGGTTCAGCACGCCTCGGAGAGTCGCATGTGGGATCAGGCCTGAGGGATGTCAGATTCGATTTGTAGGAAGCAATCACTTGTCTATGGCCACTGCAGTGCCACTGAATGGACTCTCTGTTGGGTCTCACTAAAGGTGTCTGCCAGCCGGGCTCGGTGGCTCAGCCCGTAATCCTGCGCTTTTGGGAGGCTGAGGTGAGTGAATTGCCTGAGCCCACGGGTTTGAGACCCAGCTGGGCAACTTGGTGAGACCTCATCTCTACAATAAATCAAAACAATTAGCCGGGTGTGGTAGCGCGCGCCTGCAGTTCCAGCTACTTGGAGGGCTGAGGCGGAAGGATCGCCAGAGCCCAGCAGGTCGAGGCTGCGGTGGCTGGGAGCGGCCACTGCACTCCAGTCTGGGTGACAGAGTGAGACTCCAAATCAAAAAAAATAAAAAAATAAAGGTGACTGCCAGTGCGGGTTTGAGAAAGGCTACTCAACTGCTGTCATCTCCTAGTGAGAACCTTGGGCAAGCCACTGGCCCTCTCTGGTCCTTGGCCCTGCATTTGTCAGTGGGACTCAATGTCCACCTGTGCTGGCCACTAAGCTATAAGCAGGCCACTGTGAAGCTATAAAACCCACCATGCCCAGGCCTACACCACTGAAGATCTGCCCACCGTGGCCCTGTGCTGGGGCGTCAAGAGGGCCCCCTGTGGGAAAGAGCCACCTGCCCCTCCTTCCTAAGAAGTATCCTAGCCCCTCAGGAGGGGTGGAAGAGAACAGAGACTCTGCCCCGCCTTCATCTCTTCTTTAGCCTGTGCAGTTATCCTGGTTGGAACCATCCTTCCTGGCCAGAGCCTTCACGGGACTTAACACCCAGTGGCAAGAGAAGGATTACAGGAACCAGCAAGGGCCCCTGTCCAGAGGGCTGGCTAGAAGGGAGCATTTACTTCTGCGCCGTCTTGGGATGACTGACTCAGTGCTCAACCCTTGGCTTGTTATTTTCAGCCATTGGGAAATTATATAAAAAGCATCCCCGTCAGGCCGGTTGTAGAGGCGCCTGTAGTCTCAGCGCTTTAAGAGGCTGAGGCGGGAGGATCTTGAGTCCGGGAGTTTGAGGCTGCTGTATGATCGCGTCCCTGCAGTCCAGCCTGTGAGTGAGACTCTGTCTCTTAAAAAAAAAAAAAGTAAAAATAAAAATAAATAATCTAGTCACCAGTGTCCTCACCGCGAGGGTCCCTGCCGTGGCAGCCTTGGAGCCAAACACCCGCCCGGAACGTAGCCTGGCC